CCCAAACCCTAAACCCCAGAACCCCAAAAATAGGGGGGACTATAAACCCTAATTTCAATTGTCCAAAGCGCACCCCTTTTTGTGGGAGGTGACCCTCGAGGTCCTCGGGAGTGCCAGATCGACTTGCTGGGGCGAAGAAGGAGGTGACCTAACAATCTGATTTTAGGGTTTAGGGTTTAGGGTTTAGGGCTTAGGGCTTAGGGCTTAGGGTTGGGTCTCCTCTCAAAATGAGGGTTTCCCAAAATCAGGGGTACCCTTTAGTAATCCCTACACAAAAGGATTGTAGTATTTTGGAGCCTACATTGGGATTTCTCCTATTTCTGGGAGAGTACCAAATTTCTTCAGCCTACGTCATCCCTCTAAACCTCTTGAACAGCCTACAAGATATCAAAATTGCTCTCTCTGCCTGCCTATTTGCAAGATTGCCCTCGCTCCCATGGGGTTTCCGAAATGGGATACCCACAAAGATCCTGTGGATATACGGGGGTCATGAAGAGATTACCAGGCCTTTTGTTAGGGGCCATACAGGGATCATCTTGTGAACCCCCCAAACGGAACTCCATGTGAGCCATAATCTAAACTCCTAGTCTCCTCCTTAATAAGCTCTATAATAGTCCCCTATATAGCCACTTATATAACCCCCTTTAAGGAGTTTAGACTATAGCTCATGTGTTAACTACGTTCTACAAGGACAAGACAAGAGCATCATTGGCAATGATTCAGGTCCCCATGTCGTCCTTCCTCGAAAAAAGATGGAACGAGCAAGCAGAGCAGCGGCTCTCTTTTTTTTCCGCGGCGTCTTGCTAAGTCTCGAGCCCACTCCGGGAACCCGACAAGCATCACAACGATACTAACGCATGCCTATTCATGAGAACTAAGTAGCTAGCCCAGGTGTGGTAGCGGCACGGCCTGAGTGGCGTTGCTCCATGGCTGCATTTGGGAGTCTTCCTCAAGGTTGGAAGCAGCAAACATCAAGCCGACGCCAATGCACAGCGCACCAAAGCCGCAGATGGCCAAGATGATGAGCTGGCAGGGTGATGCTGAATTCAGGTTTCTGTTCGTGTTTTGCTGGCCATGGACAATCTGCACCTCAAACCCTAGTAATTACAATTATCTGCTCATGAGCCCCTTGCCCCAAAAGAAGCAGGGCTTGTCGAGATCAAACTTGGAAAACATGTTCCGGGCAAGCTGAGGCAAGAGGCGCCAGTCGTATCATGGATAGAAAAGGGGCTTTTTTCTTTTCAATGAAGGAAACATTGGAGACCCTAGCAAAGGAAAGCCGAGATGCAAGCTCTGTAGTGGAGATGCTGCCGCCCGAAGCTGCACCCCCTGTGGCCGGGTCTTGAACGGCACCAGATGACCCTACCTGGTGTTCAGAGCTGAGTTCATCGAGACTTCAGGAAAATGATAACACTAAACCCTAAACCCTAAAACCTGTAGTGTTTATGGCTTTGCCATAAAGGGAATTCCTCAAAGTATGGGGCCTCATAGCCTTCGGGTACTGAGACACCCCACAGCACTTTAGGCATCTCGAGCCTTGCCATGCATGACTTGAGAAAGCTCCTTGTCAGGGCAGGGGGTATATAGGGACAATGGAAAATAAAATGGAAACTACTATAGTATATTGGTGTTATATTGGGATAATGGAAAAGAATTCAGCATTCGCCGTACTAGCGATAGCTGTATGGTATGCATGGTAGGGCTACTGCTCCCGTTTGTGGCAACAGCCAGCAGCAGCAGCAACAGCAGCAGCAGCGGCAATCGTAATAGCAAGTAGCAACAACACCACGATTAGGAGCAGGAACTGCAAGTGGAGGACAGGCTGAGCATGACACACAGGTGGATCATGATGCCACTGCGCATGGCGCCGATGATGCCCCCTACTCCCAGTGGTGCCGGCTGCTACATAACGGCTCATGTGACTCGCATACATCAAAAATCCTAGCACTGAAGGCCTGCAACACCTGTATAACAATCTTGCCTTCAAAAAGATCTGTAAAGCTTGTCACGAAACTTTAGATGGGAGACACCGAAAACCCGCACAACCCAACCATGCCCCCATCAATGCAGTGAACTCTTTCAGACAAAAGGCCCAAAGGCCCTAGAACAGTTCGAACTCCATATACGCTTCATTGAGCCCGTGGTCCATACGTCGTGTAGGCCCACAGAAACTAGAAATCAACTATAACTGTAGCTATAACCAAGTTGTAAGCTCTCAAATGCCCTACGTATGCCGGTGGTTGGGTGACTAGGGTAGCTTCCTAGGGGGACCCCAGATAGGGCAGACCTCCTACAAAGGACGCATAGAAGGTACTTCCAAGGGAACCTAGAACCCTAAACCCTAAACAGGTCTGTTCTTTTCGGGATCGCTCTGGGATCTATCTGAGGCCTATGATTTCAGCTCCTCATGACCATGGGCCGCCGCATAAGCCTCCTGTAGCCTTGGAGGAGTTGAGGGGTCTTACTGTGGGTGTAGGACCTAGGCGAAAGGACTGCCGGTGCAGTTTTTTTTTTTTTGGAGGGGGGGG